ACGAGGATAAATTTGATTTTAATTTTAATCATTTTATTTATTTTTTCTAACTAAACACATTTATTTTATTTTATTTCTTAATTTTTTAACTAATTTTTCTATAAAAACGCGTTTTGAAACGGTATTTACTTGATACATTTGAAACGCTTCGAACGAAAATAAATTTGGTTTTAATTTTAATCATTTTATTTTATTTGGTTATCAGTCGAACTTTAAACTTTGCCATCTGATGGAAACCGATGAAGTTTGCTTCTATTTTTAATTAAGTGTAACTAAATAATAATAAAAGGATAAGGACTTCGGCGAAATTATGCACTAATTACGGTATATCAAACAATATAAAATATACAAAGTGTGTTTGTTATAAAATAAAAAGTTTACACTCATTTAAAATAACTAAAACAGCCGTACAATACTTGACTGTGTATCGACATACATAATTTACATATTTTTATAGTGTTTATATATTAACGTCTAATTATATGTATCTATAAGTTTCTTTACCATCAAAATTATTTTCGTTAAATAATTTACAAGGTTTCATTCTATTGACCTATTAAATACTTGTATTTAGTAGATCAATAGATAGCGAGAAACCCTTGAAAATACCTTAATATTCTTTTTACGTGTCAATTTTTAACATAATGTTGCCGGAAAGTAATAAAATAAACGAACTGAAATGAAAGAAAGAAAAACTGAATTAAAGTTACGTATTATAAGTGCGTTGATGTATGACGAAACAGTAAAGTTTTCATTAAATATAATACCGAGAAACTCACTTATATCAGATCGGTTTTCCTTTTTTTTATTTTGCATGATTTTTCTTTTCACGAAATGTTAAAAGTTTAATTAATTAACATGTAGTACTACAATTTACTGTATTTTATCACACAGGAAATGCAAAAATGCGAGAAGGAAGAATCTATAATTGACCATACGAAAGTTGTACCCGTACTAACCCGATTACTTAATTAAACCTGACGTCACACGTGTAGATAACCGTTATTCTGTTTTAGTATGTCACTGCGCATCGTCGTTTGATAAGGAATAATCGTTCGAAAACGAGTTGTATCAGTAAAATAACTATTAATATTTGGCAAAAGTTTTACTGCTGATTTGACGATTAAGCAGATCTAAACGTAGTGATTTATTTCTTATTATGAATTATGCATAAATTAAGATTATTTCCAAAACTAGGAATCCCCAGTCAATTGCCGATACCTAACCGTTAAAATATCTTTATCCTTGACACACTTTACTTCCTGCGTAAGTATTTTCTGACTATTTTTTTTGAAAAACCTCCATCTCAGAAAAGAATAAATTAATTTCTGTTATGTAATTTAAGTCAATTTTACTTAAATAAAGTGTATATAGATTGAAAAGAAAGTACACTGCAATATCTGGGAATATAAGTAGCTTCTTTATTAGTCGTAAGTAATAATGTTTTTGTAATTAAACTACACTGGTGTTTAACGTGTTAGACTTTATGTGAATCGTAATTTAAACAGCAAATATTTTTCATATTTATAAATTGGAAGAGTTAAAATTATACAGACTTTAACTTCGATATTATTTTATTACTTTATTATTATTTATGTTAAATGCATACTTTAAATTTTTGTACTAATGTACATTAATTAATAATATTATAATATAAATCAGGGGTGTCCAACCTTTTTGTTTCTCTGGGCCGCATTGGAAGAAGTCAAAAAGTTTTGGGCCACAAGTATATATAATATATACTTGTGGCCGAATATACAAGTATATTTAAGGATTAACATGTCTAGATTATAATAATAAGTATTGATACTTTATCACGAAAGAGAATACTGTATTTTAAAAAATTACTTCTACAGACACTTTCAATTTTTACTTAGAAATAGATAAATTCATTTATTTGAAAAAACGCAAATATTTGAGTATCTGATTAATAAAAAGGACGAAACACCATTTTAAAGTGCATTTTTATTCGACTAATAAAAATTATTATTAGTCGAATAAAAATATATTTATAAATGATATGTAGCCCAAAAAGTAGCCAAAGCGTTAAATGATAATTTTTACGTCAAACTGAAAAAAGTAGCCACATTTGGCGCAATGTAGCCAAATCTTGCAACGCTGGAAGGAATACTAAATAAAGTTGGAGTTGTAACTCAAAGGATTATAGAGCCAAATGTGGAAAAAGAAGAGAAAGGACAAAAGATAAAGAAGTGAGAAAGGTTGGAAAATTAAGACTCAATATTCGCCTAACAGAAGAACTATTTAACCTTTCTGACAAGTTTTTATCTTTTGTCCTTTCTCTCCTTTCACCAAATTTGGATCTATAATGCTTTGAGTCACAANGACTCAATATTCGCCTAACAGAAGAACTATTTAACCTTTCTGACAAGTTTTTATCTTTTGTCCTTTCTCTCCTTTCACCAAATTTGGATCTATAATGCTTTGAGTCACAACTCCAGCTTTATTAAGTAATCCTTCCTCATTCACACATCTCCAAGTACATGAAAATATTTCATTTCCACTCAAAACTGAAATATAAATAAAGGTTTATGGCTTTATGAAATTTATTTTCTGAGTTTATGCCGTTGAAATAAATAAATAATAAAAAATTAAAACATTTGTCGGTTTTATTTACACCTTTATTGTGCCGCATTGGAACTTGCCTTGGGCCGCATGCGGCCCGCGGGCCGCGGGTTGGACACCCCTGATTTGNGAGCTTGGAGTATTGGCAACTTTCATCATTTTCACGACAACTAAAAAATGTTTTACTTTTGCAGTAATTTTATACTTACGTTAATTTTATCAATTTACGAAAACATTGATTCAAATGAATTAGTTGTTTTCAATCTGTTCTAACGAAGAAAGAACATTTTATGAATAGTTGAAATTGAAGAAGAATCGACGTTCACGAATGACCAAGAGTGTGTCTAGAAAATGTTGGAAAACTTCTTTAATCAAACGGAATTTGCCCGTATTATAAGTCGAATTTCATTTTAACACTTCTCGGTTTTTGCAGAAGAAATACTTACATTTGTACGTATATACTCTTTAAACAGTATTTTGATATTATTCTCAGAACATTACACCATTTTTTAGAAAATTATGGAAATAGAAATATTACCAAATTTTATTAAGTATTGTAATTAAACTTCTATTATATATTTACGTGTTTAATCTTTGTATAATTCCAGAAAATAAAAATTTTGCTGAAAAAATCTTCTGTTTCGTGCGTCCTGAAGATTCGAAGCAGAAAAAAGATAATCGCAGAGTTAGATTTACTGAACTTCTAAAGAATTTCAACGAGCTGATAAGGAAGAAAGTGACGGGATTATTTATTATATTATTATATTTTACTTATTTAGGAATTTCGATATGGGGATTGACAAAATTTTCTTATGAACAGGAATTAGAAACGAATTTAGTTCACGGTACTTATCGACATAATTATTACAAAACGAATGAAAAGTATTATAATCAATACATTTAGGAATTTCGATATGGGGATTGACAAAATTTTCTTATGAACAGGAATTAGAAATGAATTTAGTACACGGTACTTATCGACATAATTATCACAAAACGAATGAAAAGTACTATAATCAATACAAGTACAGATTACAGCTGTTCATCACGCAGGAACTCGATTATTCAAATCGCACAATACAACAAAATATTGAAAATATGCTACAAATTCTCGAATCGAATCCTCTGATCGCTGGATCATTGACCGAATCCTGGCTAAGAAGTTATTTACAGTTTATTTCGCAGATTAAATTTTATTTCTACTTAACCGGATATAACGTGACAAATTCGGAAGATTTCCTTTTCGTTCTGCATAAATTATTCTTACGCTTTCCAGAAGCGAAAAGATTCAGACAAGACATCGTTTTCGATGATTCCTTCACCAAAATCATTTCTTCTCGTTTCTTACTTCAAACGAATATTACAAACAACGGAAGTCATTTCTACAATCAGTTTAAACACCTTCAAGAAACGTTGAATTCTTTCCCATTCACCACTGTGGTATATCATCCGTTGTTTTACTATTTCGATATTATTGACGCCATACCTAAGATAACAATTCAGACTTTATGTATTGTGTCGATCACCGTTTCTATTATATCTGCCGTATTGTTACCAAACGTCATTTGCATCGTGTGTGTATTTTTCAGCATAATCTCGGTAGGAGTGGGTGTTTTGGGCTTCATGTTTCTTTTTAATCTCAGTTTCAATGTGAACTCCTTTTCTGTAATAATTATTGTTATTGGATATTCTGTGGATTACGCAGCACACGTTTCCTGCGCGTATATATCGGCGAAATCAAATAGTCCGGAGAAACGATTGCAGAATGCAATAAATTTGACGGCATTTCCCATTATACAAGGAAGTGTCACTACCATTCTTGCCATTGTAACAGTTCTAAACGTTTCGGATAAAGGTCCATTGTTAGCGACAAAAGTGATTATTTTAGCCTGTATACTGGCTGGAATTCACGGACTTACATTTGTTCCAATAATTATTTCGTTGATCGACAGAGTTTTTCAAAAATGTCTCCATTTTATATTCAAGTGGAAATGTTCAAATTCCTTCAGTCCTAATCATACACAAAGTATACAGTCAATTCAGACGAATAAATAGAAGACTTAATAATTACATTATTGATTATAGTTATAAGATTTGTAATATGTTTCACGTTTAACAGTTGTATTAAATTTATTATTATTATTATTTGAATATATTTGTGTGGATTTCACATAAAATGTGTTATAAGTACTCTTTACATAGAATAAACGGTTAATTTACTTTTTACGTACCGATTTTTATGGTGTGAAAGATATTTTATTTATGGTTTTCTATCACCCGAGCAAATTTAATAATTTTCTGTTTTACTCAATAGAATTTTTTATATATACTTATTTTTTGTCTTCACGTATTATAATATCACAATCGGAATATAACACAAAATCGAAAATTTTGTGTTATATTCAGTATTTATGAAATTAGTTCCCACCGTGCTTAAAACGGTCTTAGGCCAAAAACAGGCATATAAAATTGTGTGGCTGAAAACTGAATCAGAAATCAGCTTTCAGTTCAGTTTCTGTTTTACGCTTTTATGCCAGAACACACATACGTAAAAATTCTGACCGAATAGGAAACGGAAATGTAACAACGTCATATATAGTTTAGTAAAATGGCGCCGTCGGTATCTGACGTTGTTATTTGTTGGTGGTTGTATTCTACTCAATCATCGATGATTTTATTAAAAAACGCTAAAAGAGACGCTGGTGGGTTAGAAAGCTATTTCGAGAGCGTGATTTACATGGATTTAATAATTCGTTGATTCCGGAACTACAATTAAACGATCGAGAATACTATATACAGTAAGTGAATTGTATTTTTTTTACATATCGTTTCTTGAGGTTATTTCAAAATAATAAATTTTAAAATCTTCAGATTTCTGAGAATGTCACCAGAATTATTCGAATATTTGCTGTCAAAAATAGAGAGAAATATAACTAAGAAAAATACACGTTGGAGAGAAGCGATATCTGCTAGAGACAGATTATCTGTAACATTACGGTTTGTTAATCTTTCATACTTTGTAAAATTAGTTAGGTCTTTAGTATACTTTTATCATAAAACATAATTTTTTAGATTTCTTGCTACGAATCAGACATTTCGGAGCCTCAGTTTCTCATTTATAATAGGACGATCGACAATTGCTAAAATAATCGAAGAAACTACGAAGGTATAAATTAAAATTGTTATTAAATTTGAATAGCAATTAACTTATAAATTGCTATTATTTTTATTATAGGTTATTTGGAACAATTTAAAGAATGATTATATGAAAATGCCAGATAATGAAAACGAATGGAAAGCAATTGCTAAAGACTTTGAATCTCGTTGGCAGCTACCACATTGTTGAGGGAGCATTGATGGCAAGCATATACTAGTTGAATGGCCAAAAAACAGTGGAAGCTTAAATTATAATTATAAAGGATTTTTAGCAAAATTTTATTAGCTGTCACTGATTATAAATACAAATTTATTTCAGTCGAGTTTTGTTTCATGGGTGGTGAAAGTGATGGTGGGATTTTTCAAAGAAGTTCTTTTTCAAAAAAGCTTTTAGAAGAAAAATTAAATCTTCCAAATAAAAATAAATTATTAAATTCTAATAAAGTATTCCCATATTTCTTTGTTGGAGATGAAGCTTTTCCTCTTAAAAAAATTTAATGAGACCTTATCCAAGGAGATCAGCTTTCACTCATCCCCAAAAAGTGTTTAACTATCGCCTTAGTAGAGTTCGAAGAATAGTAGAAAATGCTTTTGGAATTCTGTCGGTGCGCTTTAGAATTTTTAAAAGACCACTCAATTATAGTGAGAAAACAATAGAAAAAATAGTTACTGCTGCCCTCGTTTTACACAATTTTTTATTGACAGAAAATGCAAGTATTTACAATCCCCCAGGCTTCTGATTATGATGATGATAATTTTAATTTTCAATCAGGTTTATGGCGCCAAGATGGAAATATTAATTCTTCACATTGTTCTTTTGGATCTAATATGCATGGCATACATGCAAAATCTTTGCGTGATGAACTAGCTATTTACTTGTGTAATGAAGGATCTGTACCATGGCAGAATAGCAAGATATATCCAGGTGTATTATAAAAAAATTTTTTAAACAATTCATTTTGTATAAGTTAATACAGTATTTGTAATTATACAGTATAAACTACTTAAATTTTTCATTAGTAATAATAAAGACAATTTTATAAACTTTGAAAAATTATTTTATTATTTACAGGCT